GCCTTTTATCAAAACATATCTCCCACTCTTGTCCTTAATATAAGTATCCAGTGTAAAAGGTATTTTTTTTGTTAATTAAAATACAGACTCCACTGCTATTTGAAGGATGAAAAAAATACTTGCCCCACCCAGTCTCTCTGAAGTTTAAGATGTTTTGCATCTTTCATATGAGTCTCTTGAAGCAGCGCTATGTCCACTTTTTTACTCTTCAAAAAAGAAATTACTTTTTTTCTCTTGATTGGATTACTCATACCCCGTACATTCCAAGAACAAATTTTTAAAGTCGACTGATCCATTGTTGCTGAGTCATTTTATGCTGACATTTTAAATACTTAGAAAGCTTAATGTAAACTGTGGTCTTCATCCAAAAACAACAACTATATACTAAACTGTAAGCTTTTGAACAAAAGCAAACATAAAAACACAAAACGTATGAACTTGAAACCAAATAAGGATTTCAAAAAGGGGGTAACCATCAGAAAAGGCCTCAAAGGACCCTAAACCTGACTATGTATGCAGGTGCGTTGTTTCCGCTCCGGCATTTGAATCATCCAATACAGCCAGTCCCAATAATATATTTACATTATAAGAGAAGTGGATCATTTTAGTGAGTCTAAAGTTCAAGTATCTGTTTCGTCGTTCATCAGAGCACACAAAGAGTCAATAAATGTCATTGCTTTCTCTGGACTGTTAAATACCTTCACAGAGTTATAAGCCGTTATTCTCAGGGTAGCAGGGTAGATCAGAGAGTAGCGATATCCCATTTCCAGAAGTCTCTTCCTTGCCTCATCAAATCCACGTCGTTTTCTTTGTGTCTCCGCGGAAAAGTCTTGAAAGAAGTAAATTTTCTTACCTTCAAAACGCACTTCTTTTAGCTGCCTCGCCGCATCCATCACTCGTTGTCGATCTGCAAAGTTGTGGAATCGGACAATCTTTGTATACCTTTCGGAACCAGGAGCACCAATCCTGTGTGCTCGTTCCAACTTCACTCGATCATTCTTCGTTTCCATAGGAAGTATATCGGGAATCCATTTTTCCATGAAATTTATCACAGACGTCCCCTCTGTCTTCTCCGGGAGACCAATGATTCTCAGATTACAACGCCGTCCCCTATTTTCCTGATCATCCGACCTTTCCATTGACCAGGTCTCACTGGAAGAAGAGACAGTACTGTCTCAATGTGATCTCCTGGCTAAATAAAGGAAATGAAATAAAGGAAATGAGAGCAGCGATCGTCTTTTCCATCTGCACAATTCGAATCTCCGTAGCTGTAGCCGCGTTTTCAAGGGTTAGGATGCATTGCTCGGCCTCTTCGGTTAGTGGTACGCTGCACTTCATTCAAAACATTTTGTATTTTCTCAAGAATCAACTCTAACTTAAAGTCAATTATCTTTGCGATGTTGGCTGTCAGTGACTCAACCACTGTACTCATTTCAGGGCTGAGATCGCAGCTAGCTTGTGAGGCTAATACATTCTGGTCATCATTCTTGTCAGTCTCGTTAGAAGCGGCCCCATCTTTCCTCTCAGTGTTCTTTTTCTTGCTTTTTGCTGGCATTCTCACCAAAGACGATCCCCAAAAGTTTTCAAGTGATATGAAATAATGTTATAACTAACATTTATCGACAACAATATCTATTTAAAAGCTTAGTTCAGGATAATTTTGGTTATTTAGCCGGAGCTTAATCCAAACACCGCTTATTTGGTCGCCTGCATCGCCACGCCCCCCCCTAGTGTATTTTGTTAACATTTTATTTAAATTATTTATTATTTATATATGTGTGTGTATTTATATAGTTTATAACCATAATAGTTCTACAGTTTATTCTATTTCACTTGTTGTTGGTTTCTATTTTATTGCACATTAGATTTAAATAGTGTATTTATTTTGTTAACATTTTATTTAACTTATTATTTATAAATGTGTGTGTGTGTGTGTGTACAGAGTGTATAAAGTTTACAACTATAATAGTTCTTCAATTTATACTATTTCACTTGTTGGTTTCTATTTTATTTCACATTTTATAAAAATAATTTATTTTGTTAACATTTTATTTAACTGTTTATTATTTATGTGTATGTCTATAGTTTATACAGTTTATAACCACAATAGTTCTTTAATTACCTTGTTTGATTCTGTTTTATTGCACTTTTTATTTAAATAGTTTATTTATTTTGTTGACATTTTATTTAACTTATTTATTATTTATATGTGTGTGTATGTATAAAGTGTATACAGGTTACAACCATAATAGTTCAATTTATTCTATTTCACTTATTGTTGGTTTCTAAATTTATTTAACATTTAATTTAATTTGTTACTTATGTTTTTATTCTGTTAATATTTAAAATTTAATTTTTAAGTTAACTTTTTTATGTTCATTACTGTTTTGTTGACCATTGTTAAATAAATATTGCAATAATAAATGTCCTTGACTTTTAAGTCCACTTTGTGTCGGTTTCTGTTTGTATTTAACATTTTATTAACATTGTTTATTTATATTGTTAATACTGTATTATTAATAACTAATTTATTATTTTTACATTTTCTACTCTATATTCATTACTGTTCTGTTGACAATTGTTAGGTAAATAGAAAATGTAAAAGATGCAAGAAGGTTTGATATAATCAAAGCAGTCACGGAGCTGATTGGAGAAGGAAGAATTCTGGCGGTGAGACCCAAACAAACAAGGGAGTATGAAGTAACAATGGAGACTGAAGATGACACCGAAATTTTAATAGACAATGGATTGACAATTAAAGGAGTGAAATCTGAAGTACGGAGGTTACAAAACAGAGACTATGTTGTTTCGTTCAAGCATCTGGCTGTTTACCTAGCTGATGAAGAAATTTTAAGCAAGCTAGAGGGATGGGGAGTTTTCCCCATGTCTAAAACTAAAAGAAGATTGTATCCTGGCACAAACATAGAAGATGGAACAAGGTTTGTAAAAAAAAGATTTCCAGAAGAGACGGTCTCCCTACCATACAGTACCAAAATCGAGACGGCGGAAGGGCCAAAGCACTTTAGAGTCATGCACACCAATCAGGTAAAAACCTGTCGACTATGCATAAGCTCAGACCATGTGATGAAGGAATGCCCAGAATTCAGGTGCTTCAAATGTGACGAAAGGGGACATTTCGCTAGGACCTGTACAACTGTGTTGGGCCCGGATTGTAAATTGGCCCTAATACCTGCAGGGAGCTTGTCACGCTGAGTTGGCTTTGTCCGCTTGATTGAAAAACGCGTACACCTTGTTTTATCGTTGCACGCCAAACTTCGCTGGTGAAAGCACTTGTGGGGTTTCTGTAGTGTAGTGGTCATCACGTTCGCCCAACACGCGAAAGGTCCTCTGTTCGAAACCGAGCAGAAACAGCGTTCTTGTTTTGGCGAGAAAATAATAGCATCCACTGCTGCACCAGCAATGATCGTCAACAGGCATCCAATCAAAAAGGGTTATCTGCTAGTTATACTCCTGAAGGTTTCCGTAGTGTAGTGGTTATCACGTTCGCCTTACACGCGAAAGGTACCCAGTTCGAAACTGGGTGGAAACAACATCTGGCTTTTACGACAATTGTCAAATCAGGCTTCTGTTGAGTACTGATGTTCACTGAAAACATTCTTTCTGCAGAGCGTTGTGAGGCTAGAAGTTTGAATTCAACTCAGTGTTTACCTCCCCTTGCGGTGTCGCAAACTTGCGTAGAATCTGATTTCTTTTAGCTTTGTGTTGTGCATGAGCAGGTGGCCAATGCGTTTGCTAGCCCTCCACGATTATCATGTTTTCATTACACGCTAAAGGTCTCCTGTTCGAAACTGGGCGGAAGCATACAATTAGTGGACACTTTTGTTCAAAGTGACATACAATAGTGAAGGTATTTAGCGATTCAACAAGACGAGGCAATGCATACGAAAAAAAGGAAAAGAACTTCACTGACGAAAGCGGAAGCGCTAACGAAACAACCTCCCGCTGCAAGCACCTTAACAACCTGGGACGGGAAACCACCGACATTGCCTCTGCTTCAGATTGGTTTAGAACCGTCCCTCTGCCCAAAACGCCACAGACGTCTGCAAAAGATTGCAGTTCTTGAAACAAAGTTACCTCTGATCCGAGCAGAAGCGTTCGCTTACTTAATGGCAGATAAAATGATGACCTTTCACACGGTCTGCATTCGTTCCATCAGTAACAGCGGCAGGCCGGCAAATAAAATTCTGACATTCCACAGGGCACACTCGCTTGGCGGACAAAAGCCACCGGGGGCTCTCTTTGCGTGTTCCTTCACCTGGTCAAACCGCTTTGAGGGGGGACCTTTCGAGTAGTTTTCGGCGTCAGAACATACTCTTCTAGCGACGGGTGGGCAGGCCTTCCACAGGCGCGCGCGGCTCTACTGGAGCAAAAGAGGCTTGGCAAAGGACGAGGAAGAGAGGGAAGCTCCGCTCCAGCCGGGTCCGACGCTGCCGCCTGAACTCTGTCTTGAACCACTGTGCTCAGGGGAGAGCGCGAACGCAGTCCTCCACTACCAGAAATTATGCAGTCGAGAGTCCCACATTTGGGGAAGTCGCAGACATCTGCCCACTGAACGTGCAATGTAAACTGTAGACTGTAGACTCTTGTCCAATGAAAAGCCGCGATTGTCTACAGTTTGATTAGACCCTGGGCCAATCGGAGGGCTGCATTGTCTAAAGTTTCAAATCACGGCCAATCAGAGCTGAGGATTTTCTAAAGTTTCTCTCGCTCTGGACGCTCACAATTTATCGGGTCAGAGAGTTCATCTGCTGTCGAGATAAATTCATATGCTGAAGTGATTTCGTGTGGTAAGTTATTTTTATACTGTTATATTGATGCACAGTATGTTTTGGTCAAGGCACGTTTGAAATATCTCACTCTTTGTGCAGTATTCGTGAGGCTGCGCCTTCAAAAAGTACACCTGTCATAGAGATTTTGTGTGATAAGTTATTTTTATACTGTTATATTGATGCATAGTATGTTTTGCTCACATCACGTTTGAAATATTTCACTCTTTGTGCAGCATTTTGTCTGTGTTCGTGAGGCTGCGCCGTCATAAAGTACACCTGTTGTAGTGATTTATAGTGGTAGGTTATTTTTATCCTGTTCTGATAAAAAGTATGTTTTGCTCACATCACGTTTGATATATTTTACTGTGTGTGCAGTATTTTGTCTGTGTGTGTGACGCTGCACTGTCAGACGTTCACCCATTACAGAGATTTTGTGTGGTAAGCTATTTTTATATTGCTAAGATCACATCACGTTTGAAATCTCTCACTCTTTGTGCAGTGTTTGGTCTGTGCTGGTGACGCTGTGCCGTCAGAAAGTTCACCTTTCCAAGATATTTCGTGTGGTAAGTTGTTTTTATACTGTGATATTAAATGCATATTTGGCTGCACAAAACCTGAAAAAGTTTAGCTTTTGTATTATTTTCGACGATCGCGTCGGTTTGATAGCTCAGTATACACAGATGTTTCATTATAATATAGAAACAAACATGCTGATAAATAAATATCCCTTTATATGTAGCAATATATGTTACCATGGCGATTGTTATCATTAGTTGTAACTATGAGAAGTGAAGAACATCTTAAGATCTTAACTGGGACAAAACATATGACCAATACCTGTATTTGTTATCATAAGAATATAGTAAAATCGTTATTGCCATAGACTGAATAATATATCACTGATTCTCAAGGCCTGGGACAAAAACATATTCAGCAATTACTGCTATAAGCTTTAAAATGAAAATGTGCATACATTAAATATGATTTGTTATGTTATTTCAAGTATTATATGTGTAAATGATATCATATTAATGAGAGTATGTATTTAACATGCTTAGAATGTATTTTACCTTACCTTATATCAGCCATATGGAGGTTGATATTAATAGCTGCCCCTCAAAAAACACAAAATACAACTGTAAGCATTTGAAAAAATGTATAACAGAGCAATTGATATGATAATTCATGTTTTCATTGCCACTGTCAAATGCATTATCTTTGTTAGCATTTTTAACCCTTGTCAGATAATTTATTTTGATGATATTTCATTTATTTGTTAATTATCAAACATGTAAAAATGGAAAAAAAAAGACTTAACACACAAAATGTTTTTTTAATACTTTATCATGAGCTCAGAGCTAAGACCATATTCCCTCTCTATATTTGTGATGTTTATAAGAATACTTCTTACAGGTGAATTAGACATGGATCCACTGTTGCCCACCCTGAGCATTGTTGACACCAGTGTGCCACAGGACAGACAACAGTGCTTTCTTAAAGCATCGAAGGACGCCAAGACTCTGGCCTCTCGCAACAGGTGCTTCGAGCGGAACACTAGCCAGGACAAAAAAACTGCTTGTGAGGAAGGTAATATCTGATTTATGCGTTTCTGTCATATGCGTACACTGCAGACTGTTATTTGCATTAATGTTATTTTATGTCTTAGCTAAAAAAAGATGCCAGCACATTACTTGTGCGCCATCTGAGGTCCAGTATCTCGGCCAGCTCATTCTAAACTTTGGCAAGTACAATGGACAAAGTTTTAAATGGCTGGTGGAGAACGACGTTGGCTACATTAAATAGTAAGTATGTTGCTATACATTTGTATAAGCTGTTTTTACACAAATTAATTATCTTTTTGAAATTTCAGTGTGCTGGATCTACACATCAAGGAGCGTCGCCATCAAGGAAGAAAAGAGGGCCCAGGTGAGTATATAAAGGATCTTCTGTTACAGTATGTGCAACTGTTTCCACAGGTTTCCTGCCACCTCGAGGTCAACGTCGACAGGGCCATCTACGGTCAGGGCCGCTTCAGATCCTTCACGTTCCTGGAGATGTGGCAGTGGTACAGCCTGCACAAGACCCTGCAGGCGGATCCACAAGCTGGTAGTGCCCAAGAAAAGAAGATGCCACAGGAGGCGTTCTGCTCTGTGCGGCAGTGGCTGACGATGAAGGAGGAGGACATCAGCGTCAAGACACTGAAGCGGTTCCAGCAGTACATTCTCAACAAAGAGGTAGGTTTTATTTATTTCTTTTAAATGTGACTTTATTAAAAAATATATATCATGCTGGCAACATTTCATGCAAACTACAACCTGTAACTCACAGAAAACCCTAGAAGACAGGCCTCTTTCTGCAGCGGCGGCCAGCTCCAGCTCGTCGGGATCTAGAGGTGATGGTGGATGGGCGGATGATGCGCTACTGGTGGAAGCCCTCAGTGCTTTCGAAGCACAAGGTGTATATCACTTTAATTGTTCATGTACCATAGCATAAATCTTTTATTAATAAATAAATCAATTACACACAATATCAAAACACTGTGCTGATGAGATTGTCTTCTTGCTGCTTTGACACTGACTTTTGCCCATCTTGTGTTTTTTTTTCCTCCTTTAGCAGTTGAGGACAAAGGCAGTCTGCCGAAGAAACCACTCAGCTTCTCTGAAAGACAAGGTATATCACATAATGAATGTCACTTATTAACATTTATTTATACTGTTGTAGCATGAACTACAGCTGAGGGCGCTCCTGTGAAATATTTATTTAAGGTAATGGAGCAAGGACATGTTCACAGTACTTAGGATAGTATATTATCTTCTGAAGAAAGTTTTATTTGTTTTATTATTTATGTTTTTCTATTGGCTACAGAACAAACAGTGTTAAGCTAGTTAAGCCTTTACTTTCTCACGCTGAATATGGTAACACTTCAGTATAATAGTCCTTTAGTTAATCAATTTACTAACACTAAGTGTCGCCTGTCTTGTGCAGCATTTATTAATTACAGTTCAACATTAATGCATTATTAAAATCCAAAGTTGTGCTTGTTGCACAGTGCATTATTGAACTAACGTTATTTAACTTAAATAACATCATTAACAAAGATAAATTAATACTGTAATTAATGTATTAAATTTCTTGTTCATGTTAGTAAATGCATTAACTAATATTAACTAATGAACTATTACTCTAAAGTGTTACCTTAAAGGGTGACACTTTACAATAAGTTTGTATTAGTTAATGTCAAAGCATTTACTACCATAAACAAGCAATGAACAATACACTTAATACAGTATTTGTTCGTGTTACAGTCATCCATGCCAACTCACAGTCCATCAACTAAGCATTAAATATTATTTTAATAAAGCATTAGTACATGTTGAACTATGATTAAAAATGTTGTACAAGCATTGTTCATAATTAGTACATGTTAGTAAATACATTATCTAATGAAACCTTATTGTAAAGTGTGACCCAATATTATATACTGTCATCATGGTAAAGATAAATTATAAGAAATTAAGTTATTAGAACTATTGTTTAGAAATGTGCCTGAACAAGTCCTCTCTCCATTACACAAATAATTGTGAAAAATAAACTCAAATTTAACAGGGGGGCTTATAATTACGGCTTTAACTGTATGCATTAATAAATAAAAGTCGTCACACAAAGACACTGTGTTCTGATAATCACAACTGTGCTCATTTAGGAGCCGGGGAAGCAAAGAAAAGAAAACGTTCCTGTGAAGATCTGTCACAGAAGCCCCACTCAGACTCTCGACTGTCAGGTTATTCTAATTACCAGGTGTTATTTGAGGGTTGGCACAAGATGTGGGAGTCTGGTCTTCATGGGCTGCCCAGTGCAGACATACTGTGGCTTAAGGAGGATGCTGAAAGGGGACTCTTTCAGAGGGCTATGTCTTATAAAGACAAACATGGAAACAGAAAGTGGAGGAAAGTCCTGAAGGATGACCGGATGTGGTTTCACCCTCCAGAATTTCCTGGAGTGGTGGAAGGAAAAGTCCCCTCAGCAGACTCCTTTTTTCACAGCTCCGTTTTTTTTCTGGAGACCAGTTGGTGTGTGGCGTTACAGTCTTCGGTGCCCAAGGTCTGACTGCCCAGCACGCACCAATCAGAAGGCTTTTCTCTACCGTTGTGGGTATTCATCCACGGTAAGACAGATCTGCCACATGTCTGGCTGGTACTCCATGCTGACTGAGGTCCTGGCATGCGACGCCTGTAGAAAGGCTGCAAAGGAGTCGGAAGAGCATACTATTGGTCGTTTCCTGTCATGGGATCAGTGCATCCTTAATCAGCTCAGTCCAGCTCACAGAGCGGTGTTACCTGCTGTCTTGACGCTACGGTGAGTCTCTAGCAGAATACAAATCATTGTGAAACTATGCAGAGTCTTAAAAAAAGTTAAGATTCACCATCATCTAATGATTGTCTTGCTCCTATGATTCTAGGCGTGGCGTGGACAAGCAGGTGATCCGCCTGATGAGGGATCGCACTGAGGGAAACACCATGGTGAAGGTTTGGAGACAGGTGCAGGAGAGCCACTGCGAGGACTATCTGCAGAGAAAGGACTTGTACACCACTCTTCTCAGCCAGTACAACAAACCTGGGAAGATCACTTATAAGTCAGAGTTAATTGTTTTCTTAAAGGGATAGTTCACCCAGAAATGAGTAGTTTTAAACCTTTATGAGTTTCTCTCTTTTGTTAAAGACAAAAGAAGATATTCTGAAGAAAGCCGAAATCCTGTAACCATTGACTTCCAAAGTATTTGTTTGTTTGTTTTTTTTACAATGGAAGTCAATGGTTACAGGTTTCTGACATTTTTCTAAATATCTTGTTTAGTGTTTTAAAGAAACCCATAATGGTATAAAATCATTAAAAGGATCAGCAAATGATGACAGAATTATTATTTTTAAATTCCTATCCTTTTGAGCATTTATTCAAAGATTAAGCAGCAAAGTGTCTGTTTTCTCTGCTTTTAGGGAGTTTGTGCCAGCAGTTCCAGCGACCACCAGCATGGAGAGAGCCGCCATCTGCCAGACTGATGAGAAAGGCGTTCCTTATCTCAGAGGCAGATAACATCGAGGACTACCGTACTCAGATTATGTCCACATTTGGGCAAGTCCTGAAGTACGACTCCACCAAGAAGGTAAATTTAACACAATGGAAAAAAAGTCAGTTTGTAAACGTATTGCAAAACCTTTTTACTGTTATTCTTTCAGGAAATCGTTTATCAGAGAGATTTTATCCTTAAAATATTATTGTCCACTTTTGCATCATGGGACATTTTAATCATTAATTATTAATGACAATTGATAAGTAAAGTATTATTAATTGTTTAATAATAAATAATTATCAATAAATTAATATCTAATATGGGTTACTAGTGCTTTAAAATCCTGTTTGTCAACATCACACGCACCAGATTATTAATCATACTTACCTACGTCTTTGTGTGTCGTTTTCTTCACTTCAGGTTTCCTCTTGCATGCTCTGCATCCGAAATCTAATGAGCTGCAATGCAAAAACACATTATTAATTCATTTCTGAATATTAGTGACTATTACTTTCTTGGTCTGGTGCATAAAAAAAAATACAAAATACAAAAATGTTTAAATCTATTTGTGTTGTATTTGTTATCAGATCTGCAAGAAACTCTCCGGCGATGGAAAAGGCACTGCAGAGTGGTGTACCAATGTGGCCAACGAGCAGGGGCAGATCCTCATATCTGTTCTCACCTGTGAGGAGTCATTGGAGAAGATGAGGCCGATGGCTGAAGGCCTCATGGAGAGGTACAGGAGAGCTGACGAGGCACCGCCCGAGCTCATGTATGTGGATCGTGGCTGCTGTCGCATCCACGCCGTGTCCTCGGTTGAGCAGCTCTTCAGTGACTGGACGGACAGGGGCATGCTGGTACGGCTGGACATCTTTCATTGGATCCATCGATTCGATGCAGCCCTACGGACAGATCATCATCCAAAGTATGCCCTGTTCAAGTCTGCCCTCTCTGCTGCCGTCTTTGCCTACAACAAAGATGACATGGCTCTTCTGGTACAGGCGATACGTGCCGGTCACCCAACCAACTATGCCTCCCTGACTGACAGCCAGATCATCGAGCTGCGTATCAGTAAATATGACCTCAGCCATTACGTCAGGAGGATCACAGTTAGTGCACAGGAAACATGTGTGCGCGTGCAGTGCGCCATTGATCTCCTGAAGGGAGCCGCAGGGATGGATGAGAACCAGGTGCATCTGTTTAAGGACTCTGCAGCCATCGACCACGTCTGGGAGAACCAGCAGAAGCACCTTGAATGCATCCAGGATCCACCAGGGAGGAACATGTACACCATCACCAAGTATGTGACCCGTAACGGTGTTCGTCTTGCGCGGTACAGTACGGTGAGAGGAAGCAACAGTCTGGAGGGCTTTCATTCGTTTCTGCCTGATATGATCCCGGGACCCCACTGTGCTGCCGTCCCGTTTCAATTCTATCTGTTGGCTGGCATCGCACGCTGGAACTCTAACAGGGAGTCAGCCAGCGTCCAAGGGCGGAAAGGGAGGAAACATATGGTGTACATGTCTCCTCTGGTCCATCGCCTAAACCAAAGGTGCCAGGAGCTATTTGGGGAGGTGGAGGAGGCAAAATACAGGCCTCCGGTTCCTGCTGGTGATGAGCGCATTGGTCTGGAGTACCTGTTTTCCCAGTCCTCAGAGCCCTTCAGTACTCCTGATCATTACGCACAGACTAGAGAGACACTTCAGGCAGATGAGGATGAGGACGAAGATGTTCCTGCTGGGGTGGCAGAGGAAGAGGAAGAGCTGCAGGAGGAAGATGATGATGTGGGCTACTCCTCAGACGGCGAGAGGGACAGCCTGACTCCTCTGAGGAACCGTCTGTGCCTCACCGATCAGGCAGTGGCTGCTTAATTTGACCCCTGTGTGGAGGACGTGTGCGGTCCCAATCATCTGCCTGGGTACCAGCACGTAGAGGATCTGTGTAAAGTCCTTGTTGAGATCGCCCTGGAGGAAGGAAAACTTGCCTTAAATGAGTCGACCGGGCAAAAGGTCATCAGCGCCTGGAACAAGCTTGACCTCCATGACCGCAGCATCCAACAATTCGACAGCCTCTACTCTGCACGCTGGGGCAATGCTCTGTTTGGCCGCACCAGTGGAGATCCGACTGAGGCGTCCCTGGTGCAGAAGCTCAAGTTCAGCAAGCGGTACTCAGCCGCACACTTGGTGGACTCCAGAAAGAACCGGCTGATGTACTGCCTGGTCAAACAGCTGTGGCTTCATCCTGGTGTTGGAGGAAAAGCTAAAGGGTCACCGCTGAAACAGCAGATCACTAAACTGTACCAGCGTGTGCAGCAGAGAGTGACGGTGGACGATGATCAGCTCAGCAAACTCGGGATTCCCATCCTGAAAATAAATTCAAAGTGCGTGAGCGAGTTCATCAGGAGGCAGGAGGCGCTGTCAGCCACAAACGTCACCGACCAGGGTCTGTCTGTCCTCCGTCGTCACCAGAGCGTCTCCAGCACCAGCCAGCCCCCCGCTGAGGAGCTTCCAGAGGAAAGACCCCATACCAGCCGGCCTGCAGTGCAGTATCCCATCACCACTTCTCTGGCCGGCACCCGAAAGTTAAAGCAAAGGCTCCCGCAAATCTTACCTGTCCCTCCCTCTGCTCTTGCTCAACCAGTTCCTGCGCCGGCCCATTCGATACCCGCAGGACTCCGGCACACACACACTCCGCTGACTGCACCTCCCGCTGTTTCCTTGCCGCAGGCATCCACTCCGCTACTGTTGCCCTCAAGATCAACAGTCTACAAGAGGAAAAAGGCAGAACTCAGTGGCTCTGGACATCCAACCTCAGTGAAGGTTTACATCTGTGCTCTGTGTGGCCAACCAACTCAAGGCCACAAGAAATACAGAAAGAAGAGCTACTGTGAGAGCTCCAAAGCCTCCACGTCCACAAACCTTGCTGGGCAGACGTTTGACTGTTTTGAAGACTTTAAAAGGGCTGTGGACGTTCTCTTGGGCTCTCAGTCTCAGGCCTCCGAGTCTGTCTAACTGGACCTCTATCCATGTTGCGGTTCATAGTTCTTGACTTGTAACAGTGTTATTGTTGCAAAAATGGATATGTTATAATAACAGTTGGTTGTTTGAAAGTTTACAGTGTTTTACACTAATCTGTTGATTGTTGTAACACTGGTATTGATGCAAAAATGTATGTTATAATAACAGTTGATTTTTTAAAAGTTTACAGGTTTTTACGGTTTGCACTAATTTGTTGACTGTTTTTTACACTTATTGTTGCACAAATGTTCGCAATATTAACAGTTGACTGTTTCAGAGTATACATCGTTTTATACTAATTTGTAGATTGTAACTTATTGTTAATTTACAAAAGTTAAGCTTTTTTTTTTTTTTACAGTTTGCACTAATTTGTTGATTGTTGTAGAAACATATTTTATATTAACATTTGACTGTTTAAGTTTACAGTGTTTTACACTAATTTGTTGATTGTTGTAACACTGTTTTGTTCCAGAAATGTATGTTATATTAACAGTTTATTGTTTTACAGTTTACAGTATTTCTTTAATTGTTTTCTTGTTTTTATTTATTTATTTATTTATGTATGTATTTATTTATGTTTATTAAGTATATATTATCATAATTTTATTTAAAGTACTTTAATATAATTATTTTATTTAATTATTTATTTATTATAAAATTTTAGTAATAAAAAATATATAATTATGTTATTTAAAGTACTTTAATTATTACTTTGTGATAACTAATGTTGCTTTATATACTTTAATTGTTAGCTTAGTTTTTTTTTAAGAGGATGTATTTATTTATTTATTTTTTTATATCTAAATGCTTGACCTGGCAGTATTTTTTTATGTATACAAATATATTCTTATATCTATAACTGCTATCAGTAATATTAAAACTAATGATTGTAATAGTAATGTGTTTTTTATTATGTACAAAGTATATCTATTGTATACATTTTTATGTCAGGCAGGTCTAACAATATGTTTAGAACTTTTCTTTTGCACTTTTAATAAATTTGGATAATAAAATACAATCTCGTGTTTCATTTTCTATGTGTTGGAAGGACTTCATTGGTTTTTAAAAATTGACTAAATCTTCTGATTTTGAATTTAATTTAGAATCATTATCTGAGTCTATGACAATAATATGCAGTCCATTTTAATAGTAACCTCTGGTACAGGCGCTCTGAAAAGTCTATTGCTCCTCTGTGTTTTTCCAAGTCCAGCTCTGGAGTCGATGACAGCTTATCCTGTTGCCGTCAGATGGGATGCCACTGGATTCATCCTTAAACCACATTCCAACATCAAGCTCCACCTGCAACACACAAATACAAAAACAGTACATCATTTAAATATCCTATGCCATTACACTCTCAAAATAGAACTGTTGTAATTTGTTACAAAGTAGTTAGTTACTATAATTAAAATACTTACCCAGTAACAAAGTAAGGGATTATTATTCATTTTATGTAATTGTATTACTGCTATTAGAAATATGATGGTATATCTGTATAATATAATAGAACAGAAGCAAAATGTTTCCATTTTTTTGTTATACAAACATATTTAAGAATAATTCTACTAAACATTATGCATTTATAAAAAAGTTTGACCTTTAATTACTACTATTACATATGAATATTTTATTTATAGAACTGATATTACATATATTAATTTATATATTCCACTTGTTGAGGTTTATAGGGATTTTGAGTGAACCATTAAAAGTAATTTAATTTAAAAAGCAACTTAAACTTTAATAACAAACTTATTAAATGATCATTTCATGGTTCACTTTTATGCACAGTTAGGGTTGTTTGCTTTAATTTCAAAAGCACCACACCATATGCAACGTGTTCTGACAGTTACTACTATTGGTTTTGATGACATCACCAAGGGGTTGTTCACTCGCAAAATCAGTTCATTCATGGTTTGCTGAAACTCAATCAACCAATCAGGTGCTGTAATTGCCTACACATCTAAAATGAAATTTGCACGCCGTACAGGTCGATCGCCATTCGCAGGGGTCAGCGTGGCCGGAGTGCAATGGCCAAGCCTCGCCCTGGGTGAACCACCTTCTTGATCATGGTATCTCCCCTGCCAGGTAAGTATGAGTTGTCGGGCGGCGCAAATGGCAGCCGCCGTTTTCTATCGGCCGTACTCCAGGGCGGTGATGCCCAGCCACCGAGCATGGGGAATGGGCCAGCAACCCCTGTCTCCTGACGGCGCTGTACTTGCAGCAGACGTGCCTGTGCCTGCAAACCACTCGCTAGTAACTGTGGCAACGCATGAAGAGTTTGAGCTTCCTCCAGATGCTTGCTTTGTGTTTTGTCATCAGTTGGGGCTGCCAACACATGGATTCCACCGGACGCACTCGACCTGGGGATAACAGACCCTCTATGGGGGGAGGGGAGGGGATCCTCCTGTTCTTTCTTTCTTTTCCTCCATCTGTTTTCTTTCTCTACAGATGCCGTTTTTCTCTGCTTAGTTTCTGATTTGGTCTATTTGGACATGTCGACCTCCTGCTTTGCTGCGGTTCGGACCGCCTTTGCCTAGAGCTCCGTGCTTTGCACTCTTGCCTTGTATGTTTTGTGTCCTGTTTTCTCACGTCAGCCTATCAGCACAGTGCTCAAACGACATAGCTTGAAGAAGACGAGGGGATCTACAAACGTTCCGCAAAAGAACTTCACTGACGAAAGCGGAAGCGCTAACGAAACAACCTCCCGCTGCAAGCACCTTACATTCCTGGGACGGGAAACCACCGACGGCTGGCTGCGAAATTGCCTGTGGTTCAGATTGGTTTAGAACCGTCCCTCTGCCCAAAAGGCCACAGACGTCTGCAAAAGATTGCAGTTCTTGAAACAAAGTTACCTCTGATCCGAGCAGAAGCGTTCGCTTACTTAATGGCAGATAAAATGATGACCTTTCACACGGTCTGCATTCGTTCCGTCAGTAACAGCGGCAGGCCGGTAAAAATAAAATTCTGACATTCCACAGGGCACACTCGCTTGGCGGACAAAAGCCACCGGGGGCTCTCTTTGCGTGTTCCTTCACCTGGTCAAACCGCTTTGAGGGGGGACCTTCGAGTAGTTTTCGGCGTCAGAACAGACTCTTCTAGCGACGGGTGGGCAGGCCTTCCACAGGCGCGCGCGGCTCTACTGGAGCAAAAGAGGCTTGCAGAGGACGAGGAAGAG